CTGGTTCCATGTCCTCTTCTGAATCTGGCTTGAATTTCTGGCATTCCCTGCTGATGTACTGCTGCAGCCGCTTTTGATTTAAAAAAATATATATATACATATATATTATGAATGGGTTTTTGATATTATCAAATACATTTTCTGCATTCATGGGGATGACCCAGTAGTTTTTCTCTAATCTCTTACAGTGGTGATCTATATTAAGAGATTAATGTTAAGTCATCCTTGCCTGTTCTTACAGATTGTTCTCTGGTTTCTTTTTGTTGTAGCTGGATCCCAGGGACCACAGCTACAAGGAGGCAGGTCTGAGTGTAGTAACAACATCTAGCCCTTTCAACTTTGGCAGTGGAGAAAGACTCTCCTTGTGGGGAGTGGAGACCCCGTCCCTCACTTTTGTCTACAGATTTACCTCGTTTCTGGGATCCCATGCTTATTTCTGCTGCAGCCTCTGTGCTGGCCACAAGGGGGTGCTGCTTCCTTTAGTGTCAGTTCCGGCCACAAGGCAGACCCGTTAATAAGGTCAAAAGTTTTGCTCCTGTGCCTTTGAAAAGATCAATGTAATTGATAAATCTCTAGCTAGGATGAGAAAAAAAGAAAAAAAAGAGAGAGAGAAGACACAAATTATAAATATCAGAAATGAAAGAGGGATTACTACTACTGATGCTGTAAACAATAAGTAGATAATGAATATTATGAACTCTTGCCCACAAATTTTATAACTTAGATGAAAACAACCAATTCCTTGAAAAAGACCAACTACCAAAATTTACACAAAGAGGAAAAGATAATCTGAAAAAAAAGTTTTGCTCCTATACCTCCTAAAAGAATTTTGAAAAACTATGTTCCTCTTGTGCATTTAAACTATAATAGTTTTTAATCATAAGTTTAAATAGTTGCAAAGAATGAATACTTTGGGTTTCATTTCAATACTTCCTTTTTTATTTTTATAACTGTAACCTAAGAAAACTTGTTCCCATAAATTGGTAGATGGAAGGAGTTTCAACAATATCACTCACTACCATATAATGATTCATCAGGTGACAACCGGATTAAGTCCTCTTTAAATTCTATTGAAAGAAAATATTTGGAAATCTTTTAATTTGCAAAAGGATTTGTTGCCTAGAGTTGTTCACTTCTTCAAAATAGACGTAAATATTTTAAATTGACATTTTGTTTGGAGCACTGAAGGTTTTTCCACCCCTGGGCATTGCACCCAGCTAAGGTTTGGAGTAGGTTCCTGGGAGGCACAAAAGGTTAAGTGCTTGACTACTAGCGGAAAGGCTGGCTGTTTGAACCCACCCAGAGATACCCTGGAAGACAGGCCTGGCAACCTGCTTCTGAAAGGTCACAGCCTTGAAAACCCTATGGAGCATTCTACTCTGCACACGTGGGGTTGCCATGAGTCAGAATCGATTCAAAGGCAACTAACAACAACAAGGTCTGGGGTGTTGGTGAAGAATAAACAAACTTGTCTTAGAGGAAGTACAGCCAGAATGCTCCTTAGAAGTGGGGATGACACTTCATCTTTGCTTGCTTTGGACATGTCATCAGGAGAGACCATTCACTGGAGAAAGTCATCGTGCTTTTCAGCTTTCTTTCTTATTTTTCCCTTCACACAAGTTCACTCTGTTCTGCAAGGGGATTTCTAGCTCTGCTCTTGGCAAGGTTGATGATCTTGAGCAAGCCTCTTTGTTTTATATATATATACAATTTATTTTTGTTGTTGAGAATACACACAGCAGAACACACACCAACTCAACAATTTTCGCATACACAATTCAGTGACATTGATTACATTATTCGAGTTCTGCAACCATTCTTGTCCTCACTTTCTGAGTTGTTTCTCCCCCATTAACATAAATTCAC